GCGTCTGGTAGCACCCTGGGGGGGCGAGGGAGAATGGCTCGGACCTGCACGGGACGCGACTCGGGGGGCGCAGCCTGAGCGCCCGGAGGTCTGCAGGCGTTTCCGGAGGTGGGGGCAGGGGCTGCTCTGCCGTCATGGCTCAGGCCAGCCAGCTCGATCCGCTTGCTGGTTGCAGCGGTCTCGGGTCGGGGCCCCTCCGCGCTCCAGGCCCCTGCCCTCAGGAGGCGCTGCGTCTCCTGCGCGATGATGCGCCCGGCGATCGCGGCCGTCGTTCTGCAGCTCGCTGGGCACGGGTTGCGCTTTCCCCGACGGCCTGTTTGAGTAATTGCAGGTCCACCACCATGGTCGGCGAGCGCCGCCTGGAGACCACCACCGACGAGGATCCCGAGGTACCAGTCCCCAGCGAATCTGAACAGATCTCGCCCGGCTGCGTCTGGGGACCTAACATGTTTGAAGGCATTCTGACACAAGTGTTGACGATTGCAGGGCGTTGTGCGATGCTGACGTAGACTGCCTGGCATTTGAATACCTCGTTGACCATGGTGGACCAGAAGATGTGTATCAGCCAGGGGACTGCCGATTGAACGATGACTCCAAACTTCTTTCCGCTTCGCGTATCCCCACCAGCCCATCCAGAAACGATGCCCAGGCGAGTTGTCTCTCAGAGTCTCCTCGGACTTTTCTTGAAAGCTTTGTAAACATTTTTTCCCTGAGGTTTTTAGAAGATTTTGGCTTCTTGGGGGGCTCCTTGGAAGTCTCGGAGGCCTCTTGGAGTTGTCTTTGAGCGTTCTCGGGGCCTCTTGGGCATCTTGGAAACCATCTTGAGTCATCTTCGTCTATCTTGAGCCATCTTGGAGGTCATCTTGGGCTCTCTGGGGCGCTGTTGGAGCCGTCTCGGGCCATCTTGGACGCTCCAACTACCCGCGAACCCCCCTGTCCAGGTCCAGGGGGGGGGGGGGGTAGGGGGAGAAGTCAAGACACTCACCCGCCCGCAAGCCGTCTAGCTCACTCCCACCCGCCCTCCCTATTCATAAGTAACACCCGAGCCTGAACGTGTTCAGCGGTCGTCTTTGGATGGACCGCTACTGGGGACCAAAGCCGACCACAGGTGCGCGACGTTTGGGCGAGGTGCGCCACGCGTGCCAGGGGCGCCACGCGCGCGTCAGGCACCCCTGGGGCCCGAGCGTGCCAGGCACGCCTGGTGCGCCAGATGCCCCACGTGCTCCGAGTGAGCCAGGTGTGCCGCGCACTCCAGCCGCGCCAGGTGCGCCGCGTTCGGGGCATGTGCAGAGTGCGTCAGGTGCGCCTGCGCACGTGGCGGCACACATCGGGAAACATTTCGGCCCCCGCCATCCTTGTCGAAAGCCGATGCCCATCATTGTGTCTGCTGGGTCTGCGCACAGCAGACCTCGCTACACCACCCCCGCCGTCCCTGTCAAAAACCACTTGACGGTGATCGCAGGATGGCCGCGCATGATCCAGATTTAGCCGCGAGGTGCATGTTGTATTGTTTTTTGTCAGGGATGGTAGCCCTGCGCACAGCAGGGAATATGCTGACACCCCCGCCGTCCTTGTCAAAAACAATACGAAGTGCTCCCGGCCCGCACGAACATGCTTCAAGACTTTGCCCCAAAGTGTACGGTTGGGGGGCCCCATCGGGTTGGCCGCGCATGCTCTAAAGGTGGAGGCAGAGTGCGGCTTGCATTGTTTTGACAGGGGTGGTGGGGCAGTGGTGGGGGGCGGGTGGGTATGGTGTCGGCATGGTGCCTGGTTGGCCCTTGGTCGCCTGGAACAGTGATATTTCTTTCTTCGAAAGGGAAGAAGGGGGTTGGAAGAGGAGCCTCCCCAGACCACCTGCGCCCAGAGGGCTGGTGGGATTGAGACAGCTTGTGGGTTCGACTACAATTTGGATTTGTACATCCAAGTGCGGGCGCCGAAACCGGCACCGCCGCCGATACCAGCAACGCCGCTAAATTGCGTCGACGTCGACGTGGGCTGGGGTGACAGCACTCACAATGAGTTTACATGTGCTCAGTATTAGAATACGGGTGGTGCACGAGTTCCGGTGGCTATGGATCTGGGTGGGACCCCTTGTGGGGCCCGTTCGACGATTTTTCAAACAACGGTCACGACGCAACGACAGCGTGCTGCGCTTGTGGCGCTGCTTGCGTCGACGTCCACGTGCGTTGGTACGACTATTACTTCTACGATTGTAGTGACTACTCAAGTCAAGACTGGTGCACGAGATCCGGTGGCTCTGGATCTGGATGGAGATAGGGTGCATTTGAAGATTATGCATGGGCTGGACACGACGCATCGACAGCGTGCTGCGATTGTGGCGCGGTGCCGCCGCCGACGCCGGCTCCACCACCGACACCGGAGAACCCCTCAGAGGTCGAGAACACGTCGGCCGTACCAGCGGGGACACTTTTCGTTGTCGCCGAATACACATCAGACGGATCCTTCTGTCTGGCGTGACTCCGTCTGCTGCTAAAACGACAGGTTTGTCTGCTGCTCTGTCTGTTCCCTCCCGTATCCGATATAAAAACTGCTCTGTCTGTTCCCGTCTCATTTAAAAAACTGTTTTTGAATATTTCGTGTGCTACCCTTTGCGCCTTATTATGAAAGCTATCGCTGCTGAGTGCAACCAACAGCGCGTAGCAGCGTCTGAGTGGCAGGCCAATGTGCCTTACCAGCAGGGCAGACGTTCTGGCGTACCGTACACTGGACATTACAATATACCAGGTCAGGTGACTGCCTGCCGAGGTGTACAATTTTGCAAGAGATGTTTGTGGCAGTCTTCAAGTTCCAATCGAACATTTATGCGCAATCCCAGTTCGAGACTGGAAGCGCGCAGTGCGGTCATTTTGCTTGGCACGGTAAGTGTGCCATATTGCTCATGTGCCTGCTGACACACGGCTTTGACTGACTGACTGACAGGTCAGGTGACTGAACACGTGCGAACCAGAGATGATTCCACCGCGATGGCAACGGCAATGCGTATTTTCCTCAACAAAAAATGTGTCCCCAGGATTTCTGAGGAGGCCCCCACGGCCTCCAGAGCACCCCTCACGAGGCCCAGGGGGCCCGAGGAGCTCCAAAATGGAGCGACAAGCTGGGGGCGCCTTGGGCCATTTTAACCTTTAACAGTCCCCGAAGGTTCCGTGGTCCATCCCTCCACCGTGATTGGATCGTGGACATGGGGGCCTCTTGAGAGCCTCTCGGAGTCTCTTGGGAGGTCTCTTGGGGCGCCTCCCACGAGGACCGACCGGCAAGTTTGTGAAATCCGGTGACACAGAAGCGAGTGTTGACTGCTCGTGGCCTCCAGGGGCAGCCCCCGGGGCCCTCAGCGACGGCCTAGGAGGCGCCCAAGGGGGCCCCAAGACGGGGCCCAGGGCCGTATGAGGCCATGCGGAAGGCGCGGATGCCAAGCCGCGTTCCAGAGGCCCCCGGAAGAGGCGCACGAGCATCCCTGAAGGCCAGGAGCGCCCAAGGGCTCTGCGGCCTCGCCCCCGACGGCTTCCGCGCGGAGAACTCGGGGGGAGCTCGAGGGCTCCGCTCGGTGCCCTTGGCTCGGTGGCGGATGCTGCCACTGCCTACCACGGCTTCGGGATCGGTGGCTGGAGGGTGGCAGAGAAAAGCAGAAACGGTTGGTTGCGCGCGTGCCTGGCCGATTTTTCCTCGCTCCTGCCCGGGAGCGTCCCGATGCCACTGTTCAGTCGTTCCGTCGCTGAGCCCAGTCAGCTGTGCTGACAAGACACCAGGAGCCGCGTGAGGAGGAGGAGGAGGAGGAGGAGGAGGAGGAGGAGGAGGAGGAGGAGGAGGAGAAGGAGGAGGAGGAGGAGGAGGAGGAGGAGGAGGAGGATTTTCACTTGCAGCGTTGTCTGGGTGCCTTCGGCCCTGCCCTGCAGCACCCTCGCGGCGTTCCACGCCCCGGCCCGCATTCTCCGTCACGTTCCAAAGCATGCGCGCTGCCGCTGCCGCTTGCAAGTGCGCAGGCGCGATTTGCATCTGACTGGAGGGTCTCCCACAGAAGCATCTGATCTGCACACTCCCCTCTTCCTCTCGCCCCCGGGAGGCCTCGAGCAGGAGTGGGACGGGGGGGGGAGGAGAGGGCACGAGGGGAGCAGCTGGAGCGGAGCGGCGGGGCGACGAGGGGAGCAGGGGTCTTTTCGACCCCTCCGGCTCGAATCGAACCGATATCCCCGGCTGCCGATTCGAACCGACTCGATCTGGAGATTCCGATCAGCGATTTCGATTTCGATCTCGCCCGATCCGATTCCTGCCGATTCGATGTGGCAGCCGGCTTCGGCCGATTTCCTGCCGATCCGGGGAGGGGGACGTGGGGAGGGACGGGGATGCGAGGACGTGGAGGCCTTCTCCCCGTGCCCCCAGTGCCTCTCCTGCTGCTGCTGGGCCCCCCCCCTCCCCCCCTTCCCCGGTCCTCCTGCTCCTCCCTGCTGCTGCTCCTTCTCCTCCTTCCCAACCTCGTCCTTCTCATGGCGCCAGTATCGCAGAGCGGATTTCATTCGGAAAGCCATGGGATGGGCTCAGAGCGTCCTGGAGAATTTCGTTCCAGATTTCCGATGTGAGGTTCGCGCGGACTTTCATAGCCAGGAATGAAGACGAACTAAAACTTTACGTGAAGTTCACTCCGTTTTTGCTCGAGGTTGCGGGGTTTTGCATTGACAGAAATCCACGCGAAAATCCGCTACAGCACGTCTGCAAGGTCGGTGCAGTGATTCTTTCCCACCTCGTCCTTCTGCTCACCCGCCATGAACCCAGCAATCGTGAAGCATCCTTTCAGGTGGCCTTCACGTTTTTTCGGACGGTCAGAGGGAGCATCTTCTCAATACACTTGGGCATGACATGACGGCTTTCAAGTGTGTAGTGGCTTCAGAGCAGCCGGCGGAATCGTGCCAGTTTGAGTGCTGATGTCCCGTGCAAGTCTTCGTCGCCTCTTCTGTGCTCTTTGCTTATGTCCGCTCTCTAGTCGAAAGGCTGTGACGCTCTTCGGACCTGGCATCGTGGTGCTGCCCATGCTGGGCAAGGCTCCCACAACGAGAGCCGAGGGAAGAGCAGGGCAGGGCGGGGAGCCTCGTGAGGGGTGGCATCTGCGGAGTGAGCAGGGGTCGGTCAGGTCGATCTCCACAGGGAGTGTGTGCACGCTATTTCAGTACGGGTTGAGAGAGTCGTGCCGACTGTAAAGCTTTCTGTTGCACTTCTAGGCGATAGGCGGGCGTTACCGGGGAGGCGGGGGGGGGGCCCAGTAACTCCTCGTTTCCCGCGGTCGTCGTCTGGGAATGCTTCGGAATAATCAACGACAGCTCGGATACCAGATACCTTCTGGGAATTGCTAGTGCAGAGCGCGCATACCAACAGGGAGCTGCTTCGGCAGATCGCCTTCCTTCTCTTCCTCCTTCTCCTCCTCTTTCTCCTCCTCCTCCTCCTCCTCGCTCCTCCCTCATCCCTCCTCCTTCTCCTTCCCCCTCCGTCGTCGTCGTCGTCGTCGTCGTCGTCGTCGTCGTCGTCGTCGTGGTCGTGGTCGTGGTCGTCGTCGTCGATCGTCGTCGTCGTCGTCGTCGTCGTCGTCGTCGTCGTCGTTGTGTTCCTCCTCGTTCCTCGCTGGGAAATTTGACCTCAACAAAACGGGGCATTTGTTCTGTGTTTTTCTTTCCAGGACGCTGTATACAGATGACGTGTTCAGCCTGGGCGAGAGTTGGATACACATGCGGCCACATGTCTTTCAAGTGGTCGGCCCTCATGTTTCTAAATGCGCCAAAGATCCGCACGTGTATCCAGCAGCTGGCCTCCACATGTTCTGCATGTGACTCCAATCACGTGTGTTTCCAGCTCCCTGGATTGCTTAAGGCACCCAGCCTGATTCTCTCGATTGTAGTCCGACGACGAAAGTAGAGTGCAGTGCGCTGTTGGTAAGGTTGAGCTGGAAGTGGCGCGCATATACCTCATGGGCTCACGCCAGTCCGCACACCCCAGAGCGCCCCAGCGATGTAGTGCGCACGTTGGTGTGCGCTGAAGCATTTTGCACCGCAGTAAGGAAGAATGGGACGACAAGAGGAGGAGTCTGAGGAAGGTAACGGCGATGAAGACGACGACGAGGCGACTTCCCCCTTTGGGCCCAGGGATTTCTGGACCCTCCTAGAGCATGAGCCGATAACGGCAGTGTAATCAAACTGGTCGTTTCGGCTTGGCCCCGCATGCCTCGAACCCTCCCTCCTTTCGACTCCCTCCTTCGTTCCCCTGTCCTTGTGTGAAGCACCTTGTAACGCAGAAGGGAGGACGACGACGAAAGGAGGAGGAGGACAGGGATGATGAGGAGGAGGAGGAGGATGGAGGAGGAGGAGGAAACGGTAGAGGGAAGGAAGAGGATGGAAATCACCATTTTCCATTCTCAGCAATCCTCAGCACTGCGCTAAGCTGTCCGTGCAGCTAGGTCCTTTCATGTCCGTAGCATGGTGCGCGCCCTGCCCCAGCAGATCCCGATCGGCATCTGCTGTTCGAACGTCCTTGGCTATGCCCGAGCATACCCAGACGGCGTCATCACCACTGTCGACGTCACCAGGGGGGGGCGGAGGGCCAGGGACACTGACAGCCGCTATCGCGAAGCACGGAAGGACGCTGTCTTATTGCATCCCCCAGGTTTGCTGAATCCGAGATTAGACACCGAATGAGGTTCGCGAGCGAGGTGAGCACAATCCTCCAGTGGAGGTACATTTGCCATTCGATTCGACCCTGGCGGCTCTTTGGGTTTTGCCCTACCCTGCCTCCCTGTATGAGTTCCATCGCGAGAGCGAAGCACGGCCACCAAGCGATGCGAGTGTGTCTATGTGTGTTGTTGTTTTAGTTCAAAATCTGCATTGGATTTTCTTTAGGGCTCTGAAGTCCTGTTTTGCTCTGGCCAGCTTCAGGTTAGCTGAGTCTAGTCCCGACTGGTCCCATGTGACCGTTTAGGATGCTTTGGCGGCAATTCACACTTATCCAGCTGCTTGCGGCGAGTACCGTTGCCTGGTTTCTGATTCTGATTGTGGCTCCTTGCTTCAGGCCTCGGCCATTATAACGCGGTGGCCAGACTCTAGCACCGTGCCGTGGGGCTTGCGGTTGCCTCGCGTCCCTCCTTTCATAGCCTTCACCGCCTCAGTATCATCGTATCCACGGATGGGTACGGTCTGAAATTGTCGAACCCGCGGGCGCAATCGCAAGCGCAAACAGGCGACACATCTCAACCCGCACGCGGGCCTCAACGGCAACCGCAACCAGGCGACACATTTCGACCCGCCCGCGGGCGCAACCGCAACCGTAACCGCAACCAGGCGACGTATTTCAACCCGCCCGCGGGTGCAACCGCAACTGCAACCGCAACCAGGCGACACATTTCAACCCGCCTGGTGGCGTAACCGCAACCGCAGCCAGTCGACACATTTCGACCCGCCCGCGGGCGCAACTGCAACCGCAACCGCAACCGTAACCGCAACCCGGCGACACATTACAACCCGCCCGCGGGCGCAACCGCAACCGCAACCGGGCGACACATTACAACCCGCCCGCGGGCGCAACCGCAACCGCAAGCAGGCGACACATTTCAACCCGCCCGCGGGCGCAACCGCAACCGCAACCGGGCGACACATTTCACCCGCCCGCGGGCGCATCAGCAACCGCAACCAGGCGACACATTGCGACCCGCCCGTGGGCGCAACCGCAACCGTAACCGCGGGCGCAACCAGGCGACACATTACAATCCGCCCGCGGGCGCAACCACAACCGCAACCGCAACCAGGCGACATAATTCAACCCGCCCGCAGCCGCAACCGCGGGCGCAACCAGGCGACACATTTCAACCCGCCCGCGGGCGCAACCGCAACCGCAACCAGGCGACACATTTCACCCGCCCGCGGGCGCAACCGCAATACATTTCAACCCGTCCACGGTCGCAACCGCAACCGCAACCAGGCGACACATTTCGACCCGCCCGCGGGCGCAACCGCAACCGTAACCGCAACCGCAACCAGGCGACACATTACAACCCGCCCGCGGGTGCAATCGCAACTGCAACCGCAAGCAGGCGACACATTTCGACCCGCCTGGTGGCGCAACCGCAACCGCAAGCAGGCGACACATTTTAACCCGCCCGCGGGCGCAACCGCAACCGCAACCAGGCGACACATTTCAACCCGTCCACGGGCGCAATCGCAATCGCAACCGCAACCAGGCGACACATTTCGACCCACCCGCGGGCGCAACCGCAACCGCAACCCGCGGGCGCAACCGCAACCGCAATCAGGCGACACATTTCGACCCGCCCGCGGGTGCAACCGCAACCGCAACCGCAACCAGGCGACCCATTTCAACCCGTCCACGGGCGCAACCACAACCGCAACCGCAACCAGGCGACACATTGCGACCCGCCCGCGGGCGCAACCGCAACCGCAACCAGGCGACACATTTCAACCCGCCCGCGGGCGCAACCGTAACCGCAACCAGGCGACACATTTCGACCCGCCCGCGGGCGCAACCGCAACTGCAACCGCAACCAGGCGACACATTACAACCCGTCCACGGGCGCAACCGCCCGAGGAGCAGGAGGTGCAAGAGCCTCGAGGAAGAGGAGGAGGGAGAGGAATAAGAGGGAGAGAGGGAGCGGGAAGAGGAGATGGGCGGGACGTCCAGGAGGAGGAGGAGGACGAGGAGTAGGAGGGGGATGCGGGGATGGTCGTGTTTCAGGGGGTTGCAGGAGCAGGTGCCTGTGGAGGAGGAAACCCAATGGCACAATAGGAAGATTGAGGGCCTGGAAGATGAGTAGGAGGAGGAGGAGGAGGAGGCCGATGAGGAGGAGGAGGAGGAGGAGGAGGAGGAGGAGGCCGATGATGATGATGATGATGATGATGATGATGATGATGATGATGATGATGATGATGATGATGATGATGATGATGATGATGAGGAGGAGGAGGAGGAGGGGAGGAGGAGGAGGAGGAGGAGGAGGAGGAGGGGGAGGAGGAGGAGGAGGAGGAGGAGGAGGAGGAGGAGGAGGAGGAGGAGGAGGAGGAGGAGGAGGAGGAGGAGGACGCGTTGCCCGCGGTTCTCCGCCGGGACATTGCAGCGGGAATCCCAATTCCACGCTGCTGCCTCTGATTCAGTCCTCTTTGGCGCCCCAAGTGTCTTCAGACGGGCTTTGTGGCAGCCTGCCGGGAACCTTCGGGGCCTGCTGGGGGCCTCGTAGAGGCTTCCTGGGATCTTCCTGGGGGCTGTCGGTGCTCTCTTCGGCTCTCCTGCGGCGTCTGGGGGACCCGGTCTGGCGCCGTGCGGAGGGGTCTTGGCGCCGTGCCTGGGCCTGCTTGGGTCGTCTCAGAGTTGCAGAGCTGGTCTTGAACCCGTGAAGATGTCTACGGCAGATTCGCGGAATGTCGGTTCGCCGCGACCCCGCCGCGGGCGTTCAAGGCCTAGAATCGGCCCAAAATGGAACGATCTGGCGATCGAGCAGCCGCCGATCGTTCAAGGTTGAACAATCCACGCAGCGTCAGAAACCAACGCTGGGGTCGTCACGACACCGTGGCCAAGGTAAGGGGGCGATCTTCGACAACATGTCGCGCCGAGGGGGATGTTGGCCCTTGCGAGCTGCAACAGCTTCACCAAGCGGCCCAAAGGTCAGTCCAGCACGCCCCGACATGCCAGAGGGGGCACCGGCGGGCCCCGACCAGCCCCCCACGTGGCCTGTCGACGCGGCGGCGGGGCCAGCTGTCGTTTCGCAGAGGAGCGAAGAAAAAGGCATCCCAGCACGCACCAGGAAGGTGGCGGACGGGTGGCTCCCCTGCCTCGACCTGGGTCGGCGGCGAGCGAGGGGGCGAAGCGAGAAGGAGTTTTTCACATTCCCTCTCCGCCTCCTGACCCAGGCGGATCGGGATCGCCTGGGCCCGCTTCGGGCCCACATCCCTCAGGCCGCCTCGTCCTCTTCCTCCTCCTCCTCACCTCCTTTTTCTCGTGGCACCTGGGCGCCCGCGGTCGTCAGCCGCCGGGCGCGAGCTCTGTGGCTCCGCGCTGCGCGGCCACCGTACCCCCCTCGAGCTCCCAAGCAACCCTCCTCGAGCGGGCCGCGGGGCTCCCCTCCGGAGCTCCCGCCCGCACTGGAGGGTGGACCTGGCCCCGCCCTGCCCAGCACTCCTGACATCTTCTGGCGCCTGCAGCGCTCGACTGAGCGGCGCCTCTCCAAGCCTCGCGAGCCTCATCCCCGCGCCACAGCCCATGGGGCTTCCCCTGCGCACGGAGCCTCTGGGCTCCTCACCGCCGCCGCCCAGCACCTCCTCAGACCACGGCCAGGTCGGCGGCTGCCACGCTGCTGGCCACTCCCTGCGCCATGTCCCCTCGCCTCCTAGAGATACCCCTGGAAGGCGTCGCTGTTCTGGCGTCCCCACCTCTGCGCCAGTGCCGTGTCCTTGTGCGCTGCGTACAGGGCTGACGCGCCGCCGCATCGGCAGGCCGTGGGAGCCCAGGCCGTTCGGGGCGACTCCCTCTGCCACCGCCGCCTGCATCGCCACCCGCTGGACATCCGCCCGGGTCACCAGCCGGTCGTCGTCGTGCGCAAACAGCGGGTCGTGCACCCTGAAGCCCGAGAACCGCTCCCTCGCCCATCCTTCGTGGATAGTCAGGGCCTCCACGACGCTGATGTGAGCTTCCGCCTCCGCCTCTGCCGTCGCCTCAGCCTTGACGTGGTTGCGCCACTCCCCGCGGTTGTGCTGGTCGGTTTTGCTGGCCCGGATCTCGATGGCCATTTCGTCCGCCGCGAGCCAGCTGCTGCACGGCTCGCCCGCTGCTTTGGGCGTGACATCCACCCCGCGCAAGCCCTTGTTGCCCGTGTAGCCGTTCTGGTCGCTCGATACGTATTCGCTAGCCCGCAGCAGGAACAAGTAGCCCCTGGCGACCGCCGCCCACAATGCCGCTCCTTCTCGCGACCTCTCCGGCTGCAGCTTCTTCACGATCCACCGCATCATGCGAGGCGTGACGGGCTTCTCCCTCTTGGGTGCTCCGTCACGCCGCCTGAGCCCGTCAATCGCCATCCAGAGTCGCCCTGCTCCGCCGTGAGGTCACCCATACCCAGCGCCAGGTGCTGCGCCCTCACGGCGCTGCGGTACTGCTTGATCGCGCCTGCCTTCTTGAGCCCTCGCCTCGACAAGTGCGCCGCGAAGTCCAGCGGCAGCTCTTGCAGCCTTTGACGAAGCCGTGCGTAGTCGTGAAGACGAACGCGCAGTGCGTCCGAGCCGTTCGCAAGACCCAAGAGACGAGGCTGATCATGGAGCCGAGGAGGGCGATCACTCCCGCTGCGGCCGCGCTCAGGGCGAGTCATTGGAGCCGCGCCCAGTAGCGACCGCAAGTGTACTCACCCATAGCGTTCACCATGCCCATGAGGAAAGCGATTGCCTGGTGGAGCATTGCGCCCAGCGCGTGCCAGCGTGCCCGACCTTCTCGCGCAGCCACTTGAGCGCTGCCTCGAACCGTGCGTTGACGAATGCAAGCCCCTCTGGCTCGGCGTTGACCATCCCTGGTACGGCCTCGGGGGGGCGGCCTGGGGGTGGGGGCGCATCCTCAGCGGCCGCGCCCTCGCCTCCTCTGGCCGACGGCTTCCCTGGCGGCGGCGGCGGCGCCGGCGCATGCTGTGCGCGGGTGGCGTTGCCAGCCGATCGAGGCGCAGCCGCGGCTGGACGCCGCTGTGGTGCGGGCGGCTGCTGCTCGCCCGCCTGAGGTTATTCCGGCCCTCTCGGCATCGCCCTCTCCTCGGGCAGCGATCCGGGCACAGCTGGCGCCACAGGCTGCTCCGTCGGGGGCGGGCTCGGCGCCACCCCGTCTTCGTAGTAGTACGCGAGATAGTAGTACTCCTCGTAGCTGGTGGCGCGCCCACCCGAGCTGGCCATGGCTGGCGGCGGGCCCGTGGTCGGGGGCCCCTCAAGCCGCGGTGCCGCCGCCTCCTCCGGCTGCTCCGTACCTGCGGGCAGCACGGGGTCGGCTGGGCTGGCCTTCCGCAGCCTTCTCTGTGGAGCTCGCACCGTAGCTGAAGTGCGCCTCGAAGTCGGTGCGACTCTCGTGCGTCGCCTCCGCGCCGGCGTCGCTCGCGGCCGCGTAGCTGGCGGAGGCTGAGAAGGCAGTCGACAGCCTTGCGCCCAAGGAAGCGTCTAGCCACCCGAGCGTGGCCACCAGCGCAGTGGAGATGATGCGCTCCAGGGAGACGTGCCGCATCGCTGGCACCTCCCCGCTGCCTCTTCCTCCTCCAGGCCGCGGGCGCCCTGCCGAGGCGTCCGCCGCGGACCGCGGGGCTCCCTTCCAGAGCCCCCGCCCGCACTGGAGGGGGGACCTGGTCCGGCCACTGCCCAGCACTCCTCAGACTGCTTGGCCGAGCCGCAGGCTGGGCCAGCGAGCTATGGCCCCGCCCGCCCACCCCGAAAAAGAGATCCGAGGCTCTCACGAGCCTTGAGCAAGCGGCAGCGGAAGGGGGAAGGAGAGGACACAGAGAGCAGGGGAGAGGCTACGAGATATGAGAAAGCCTGCTGTTCTCACGAACGTCCAAGAGGCCTTCACCGAAGTCTCGGCAGTCCTCCGGCCTTCCGAGAAGTCTTCTAAGCCGTTTGCGAAGGCGCAGAGACTTCTCAGAAGGCGCGAGTGCTTTTGAGAAGCCCTACCGCCTTTGAGAAGGCCTTCTCCTTCTCACTTTCCACCCTCGCTCGCCGCCGATTGGGGTCACCTTGGGGGCCATCCTGGACAGTCTTCAGCGCGCGCGGGAGCTCTTCCGGGCCAGGGGAGGCTGCCATCCTTTTTTGATCCGCCACCCTCCCCCCAGGCCCCCCCTTCTGTGTGCACCCCCAGCCATGGGTACAGTGGAAACCCATGCCAACAAACACCCTGCGTACCTCCCGGGTGCCCTGGCTTTCTTGGGTTTCTTGGGTTTCGATGGTTTTGCTGTGGAAAGCGCGACGTTCCCATACGCAAATCAATGGGCATCCCAGGGTTTCGGGGTTGGGTTTCTTGTGGAAGAATTCTAGTGGTCGAGCTCCTGCTGCACTGCAGGTTCGTGCCGTGTCGGCGCTGCGGCGACCCCAGCGTGGGCGTTCGAGACGAAACGCCGATGATCGAGTGATCGGCGCTGTCGGGAAACCGCGGTCACTCAAGCTGGAACGATCCGCGCGGTGTCAGCCACCAACGCTGAAGCCGCCACGGCACGGAGCTTCCGTAGCCCGCTCTCGGCAGTGTTGCTTCGGCATCTCCCCGCCGAGGTCTCTGGCGTGAGCGAGGAGGAGTGCCTCACGTACGCCTCGCACCCCAAGCGGCTCGCCAAGGGCGGGCTGATGGACAGGGTCAGCGCAGCGGGTCTTCTGTAAGCCTTCTCGGCACTCGCCTGTCTCCGTCCCCACATGCCTCCTTGCGCTTTCCTATGCCCCTTCCTCCTCTCTACTCTCCCATCCCCCTCGTCCTCATCCTTATCCTCGCCCTCGTCATCACGCTCTTCTTCGCCCTCGCCGGCATCCTCGTCCTCGTCCTCGTCATCGTCGGCATTGTCGCCGTTGCTCCAGCTCTCGTTGTCATCCCCATCCTGCTCATCTTCATCTCCCTCTTCCTCCTCCCTCCTCCTCCTCCGCCTCCTCCTTCACTGCAGACGTCCGACGACTCGAATCTTTCGGAGCGTGTGCATCCAGACCTCTCGACGCCTCCCCTGGGACTGTTGATGCCGTTTCCTGACGGCTCCGTGGTTTGGACACGGTCTCGGATCGGCGAAGAGGATGGGAGACATCCAGCGACCTCGAGGCGCTGGTGCTCTGGCGCCAGCTCGGGGGCTGAGAAGCCCTCTGGAGCATGCACAGGCAAGAAGCCAACCACACGTAACATTTGTCTATTATTTCTGTATTTTCATGTGTGATGTATGTATCCGTCCGTCCGTCCGTCCGTCTGTCTGTCTGTTTGTATGCATGTATGCGTGTATGCAAGTGTGCAAGTATGCATGTGTGCATGTATGCACGTTGCATGTGTGCATGCACGCATATACATATGGTGATATGTAGATGTGTGTGTGTGTATGTATTTATGTGTGCATGCATGCATGTATGTGTATGTGCATGTATGCATGCATGTATGCCTGCCTGCCTGCCTGTCTGTCTGTATGTACGCATATGTATGTTCTGTATGTATGTATGTATGCATGCATGCATGCATTTATGTATGTCTGTATGTATGGTTGCAAGTGTATCTGTAGGTATGTAGATATGCACATAGGTATGCATGCGTATATGCATACACGCACGCATGCCTATCCACATGTATGTACATCTGTATGCTGGCATGTGTGTACATGCATGCATGCATGCATGCATGCATACGTGCATGTATGTATGCATGTATATAGGTATGCATGCATGCATGAATGCACGCATGTACGCATGCATGCATGCCTGTATGTATGTGTTTATGTGTGTATGTATGGGCGTACGTATGTATGTGTGTATCTATGCATGTATGTCTGCATGTATGTATGTGTGTATGAATGTATGTATGCATGACTGTATGTATGTATGTATGAATGTATGTATGCATGTATGTATGTATGCATGTATATATATATGTATGATTGTATGCTTGTGTGCATGTATGCATGTATGCATGTGTGCATGTATGTATGCACGTATGCATGTCTGAATATATGCATGTATGCATGTATGCATGTATGAATGAATGTATGTATGCATGTATGTATGTATGTCTGTATGCATGCATGTATGCATGTATGCATGTATGCATGCACGTAGTATGCATGCGTGCATGCATGCATGTGTGCATGCGTGCATGTATGTACGTATGCCTACACGCGTGTATGTATGCATGCATGTAAGTATGTATGGCTGTATGCATGTCTGCATGGATGTATGCATGAATGCATGTTTGTATGTCTGTATGTACGTATGTACGTATGCATATACGCATGTATGTTTGTATGTATGCATGTACGTATGTATATATATATATATATATATATATATATATCTAGATACATATATACGTGTATATATATATATATATATATATATATATATATAGGGACATATGTATGTATAACAGTCTTAGTGGGCCCTTTGGGCTGTCTTGGGCTATCGGAAGGCCGTTTTGAATCAAATGCCATAATCCTAAACAGCTAAAAGGGGAACCAATGATTTTGGCCTCTTCGAGCCTTCCTGGAAGACCTCTCGGTGGGCTCTGGGTCTGTCGTAGGGGCCTCCTGGGCGCTTCTTGGGCCGTCTTGTACTCTCTAGGACCATCTTGGCGGTCTTGGAGGCATCTTGGGATGTGTTGGCGGCCATCTTGGGGCAGTCTTGGGCTCTCCTGGGGCAATCTTTCCCGTCTTGAAGGCATCCTTGGGACCATCTTGGGCCATTTTGGCCGTCTTGGAGCCAATGGGGCCAATGGGGACCGAACTTTGGGAGTTCTTCGGGTGGCCGGCTGGCTGGGCCGAGACGTCTCAAGGAGTTCTTCAGAAAGAGCCAACAACCTGCCAGACATTCGGCACGCCGTGCACCCCTGTGGCAAGACCACACGGGGCGGCTCATCATAATGGTTTTCGGTTCATTCCGCCACCCTGCCTGGGTTGTGAGTCATAGGCCTCTTGGATGTTCGTTGGGATGTCGTGGGAGGCCTCTCGGCTGCCTCTTAGAGACGGTTTTGATGCCTCTTGGTGGCCGTATTGGGGCCGTTTTGGGGCCTGTTGGGGAGCCTTGGGGGCCTCTTGGGGGCCTTTTCGGGCCTCTTGGGGGGCCTCTGGAGGCTTCCTGGGGGTGGTATCTTGGGGCGGAAAGCTCGAATTGTCGGTTCGTCCCCCTCCCTTCGGCCCCATTTGGGACCGTCCTGGGGCTCTTATTGGGCCGTCTGGGGCGCCTCTTGGGTCGTCTTGGGGCCCTCATGGGGGCCTGTTGGATCGTCTTGAGGCTATCTTGGGGACCTCTTGGGCCGTCTTGAACGCCGTGAGGCCGAATGGAAGTGATGCACGTGAATGATTGCAAATGTCTGCTGCCTTTACGCGTGAAGGCACTTTTTTTCGGAGAGAGCATCGTGGATGGCCGCAGCCCTCGTCAGTGTCTGGAGCAGCTGGGCGGCGACGGTCGGCGGCCAGGCGCTGGGCACCTGGCTCTGCGGCAGCAGCCGCGGGTGCGACTGCAGCTGCCGCTTCGACGCCTCGCCTGACGAGGCAACGATCGGGCTGCTGAAGGGCCAGCTCGACAGGTGCCGGCCCGAACGCCTCCACGGGCTGCCGGCGGTCTCGCCCGCCTGCCCGCCGCCGGGTCGTACCGGGCTGGAGGTGGTCGTGGCGTTGCAGCTGGGCTCATCGTGGGAGCCGTCCTCCGTGAGGTGGCCGGCCGGTCGTGTAGCCGCCGCTCGGCTCATGGGTCCGCGGCCGCGCATTTCAGCATCGCGGGCGGCCAGGGCCCTGGAGAGCCTGTCGGTGGGGCGCGGGTCCTCGCCCTTGTCGGTTGAGAGGACAGCTACCGGCACGAGCGGGTTCTCGTCGGCACAATCACGCCGACGCGGTATGTTGCAGTCACACCCCACCCTGACATCTATGAGGAGGAGCTCGCTGACGCCTTGCAGTTGCGTCTCATCGGTCCCAAGGGCGGCGTGCCAACGAAACTCTCTGGCCACATCCTGCGCGTGGACATGGATAGGCACTATCCCAACGGGCAGCGGATGCTGGGCGAGGGACGCGAGCTGGCGCGAGAGATCCGCCAGGCAGAAGGCCTCCCTGAAGAAGCCTCGGGTGATCTGGCGGCGGCCGCCTCCTGACGACCAGGAGGCGGCCAAGGACCTTTTTCCTCTTCCCGCGCCTCGCGAGGACCCTCGGGCTGCTGCTGGTACTGCTCCTGAGCGCTTTGTCGCCGCCGAGGTCCGTGCAGGGGACAAACCGGGTGACGAGATGGACGCCGGTGTCACGCCTGATGTCAAGAAGGGGGACCGCGGGATTTGCGAGATCACCGACGGCACTCTTTTCGCAGTGGCCGCAGCAGGCTCAGGCGAGGGCGCCGCCCCCCCCCCGCGGATATGCCAGCAGCAGCAGCCAGGACCTCCGCACCGTTCCCGTCAGGTATCGCACTCGCGGCACGAATGTCAGTGACTTTGGCAACGCTGTGGATCTCATGTCTTCGACTCTTCTGTTTGATTGGCCCATTCAGGGCTCTCGTGCTACGCTCTGGCTGTTGCAGCAGTTCAAGCGGCTGGGCCAGACGCCTCTCCAGCGTCACCAGTGGTGGAAGCAGATGCAGAGCCTCGCAGCAGCGGGCGCATGGGTCGACGAGCATCAGTTCTTGTCCCTCTTTGAGGCGGGCGCCCAGGCGGGCGAACTCAACGAAGGGGGGCTTGCAGTCTACGAGGCCGTCGCGAGGCGCTACCAGTTGTGGGAAGATATCTACGCCACTCGGTCGCGTGGGCATGAGAGTGGAGACCTGCGCAGCTCGGGAAGTACGGCGTGGCTGGGCGACGGGGAATTCTTTCTCGGACAGGAGCGCGGCCGCGGAGGAGCTCTGGTCCGCCCCGAGCTGCAGGCCCGGGTGGCGGAGCGCCTTCGGGCCGAGTCCGCCGTGCTCAGGGAGCGCCGCAAGGGGCGGGAGGAGAAGATCGCTGCGCGTGGAGGCGACGGAGGAGGCAGGGGCGGCGGAGGTCCAGGCGACGACGGCGGCACCAACAAGTCCAAGGCGAAAGCCAAGACCAAGTCTGGTGCTGGGGGGGCTGGCTTGCCCCACTCCGATGCCGAAGTGGCTTGGTTGCCCGCCTGCCCGCGAGCGGTCGACTATTCTCAGGGGGGGGTGCCGCGTGACAGGGACATTGAATTTCCGCGACGATGTTGGAGGCCGCCGTCGAGATCTATTGCCGATCCCGATAGGCGGTGAGCTTATGTCTTTGTTGAGCGTCGAAGCTGCGCGGGGCGCGTCCCTTTCCGCGAAGCGGAGATCGGCGACGCGGAGGAAGCAGGGCCAGTGGCTCCTCGATGGCATCGCTTCCCTCGCCGAGCTGGGTGGGCAGGGGCGCCGGGTGCCTGGCCGCGCCCCGCTCGCGGCGGCACGGCGCTCGGCCGCGCGGCGGCTTGCCTCCCTGTGTGGCAGGCGGTCGCCGCCCGTGGATCGTCCCAATTCCCGTGCAGCATGGCCGTTGTGGCAGTGTCTTAGAGCTGGCTACTCTGATGCCGAGGCCGCCAGCTTTCGAAGAGCTTGCCAGCGGGGAAACATATCTCTCCTCAAGATTGGCGTTGGGGAGGTCGATCTTCTTGGTGTCCTTCCTGATGGTCTGCAGTCCAAGCTGGGGTCTGGGCGCGGGCGGCTGCGTT